TGTCCTCTTGCCCTAGCAAATGGGCTGCGGTGGATATGCTCTTAGAGGTCTAAGATTCAAACTCCCAATGGCACCTTGGTAATGTGTTTATGTGAGAGAAACCCCCTACCTATAGTTTCGGCTATTGCTTGTACAAAAATAAACATATCGTTTTCCCGTTGATGTAAAAACCAAATAGGATTGGTGTGTGGTGCCCAATGGGCTTAAAAGCCCAAGTCAAATTGGGACTTGTTCAGCTTAATGGTGCATCCTGGGCTTGAAGCAACAAAATGATCTGAGCTTGTCGAATTGGATAGGTAAATCAAGGGTAAAAAAAAAAAAAAAAAAAAACTTTTGGAACTGAATTCAGAATAAAGAAAATTTGACATGCATGATGACTAAGACAGTTTGCTTTTGTGGGTACTAATATAAATGGAAGAAAAAGCAAACAAAAATTGTATCTTGTCATATACAAATAGTGAGGGCCTTATAAGGCTCTAAGATGAGGCTCTATCTCTTAACGGTTAGATTAAACTAACTAATTTAATCAAACAGTTAAGATAGGGATATCTTCTAAGGGCCCTTGCTATAGAATTCTACATCGTATCATATATATAAGCATACGATCAACCCAAGAAGGTCAATGGCCTGGAGGCCCTGCACAGACCTAGAACGGCCTCCAGTCCGCCATAATTGGATGGGACACCAAGGGAAGCCTTTTCTGTTACCACTCACTAATGTGCTCAACACACCCAAGTGATGCAAACAAAAAAAAAATCCGATTTTCAAATGTCTCCTCACTAATAAATTAATAATGAGACAAACTATGAGTTTGAATTGCATTATAATAAGGAAGCAATTCCCTGTCATGCTGAATAATTTACACTCAAGATTATTCAATTAATTGTGGACAGAATTTTCTTTTTCTTAATGCTGATCTTAGTTTCATTTTTTGTTTATGTTTTTAATTAAGGATCAAATCACAAATTAAGCCCGGTCGGTTGCTACAAAATGATGTTCTTGGCTAACTTAATCTAACATTGCAAATTTGTTTGAGAATTATTAAGATTCAGGATTCAGGACGGCCATGCTGCTGATGATGATTTCAGAGTCACGGCTTCTAGCGACCTCGTCAATGTGTGGGGTGCAAAATCAGCAAGCAGTCTATCTGATCACATATTATCTAACAATCCCAACAATTCTTTTATTACTTCCTGTGTTCCTGTGGATAATCAGTGCCTCCAATTTGTTGATCGTCCCACATTCATCATGACGTATATTTCAAAAATAAATTAGTTATTTGTGGGCCCCGCCAATATAATTTATAGAAATTAGAAGGAATGAACCAATTCATGTTTTCCCAAGTCATCTCATCAATAGAAATAGGAAGTATATTAAGGTTTTGTACTTTCCCATTAAAGCGTATGGCCGGGCGGCTGCACTACGTTTTTATTATTAAAAAACAGTATAGCCGTGCGGTTATACTTTAGGCACTAAGCGCTACGCGGGCCTTTCTTTTTAAATAATAGTATAGCCGTCCGGCTACACTTAAAGATTATGGCCGTGCGGCTATACTGTTTTGGCACGTAGGCACTAAGCGCTAGGCGAGTCCTTTCTTTTTTAAATAATAGTTTAGCCGTTCGGCTATACCATAACTATAGCCATGCGGCTATACCACTTTTTTAAATCTTCAAATTGAAAACGTAAAAATAAAAAACAAGCCCAGCCAAAACCAATTCCACCCCATTGCAACCTCCCAACGGACCATAAATTTAAAACCAAAAGACAAGAACAATAACAAATATATCTTAAAGAATAAATAACAAAAAATTGAAAAAAGTAAAAACAAGAACAAGATCAAACCAAACCCAGAAAACGCCATCCCCATCTCGTCTTTCCCAAGTCCCAACCCAACCTCCCCCCATACCCACCACCTAGATCCACCAGTGCAGGAATTTGAGCTGTCGGAGAGTTCGGGTGAGGAGGAGAAGACGATAGTGGCGAAGGAATGGAAACGGCCGGAGTTGAAGCCCGAGAGATCTCAGACTGGGGTTAAGATGGTGACTGGTTTGGCTTCTGTCATGGAAAAATGAGTCATAAAAATTTTGATATAATTTTTATAAAAAATTTGGGATACTTCTCTCTGTTTTCTTCTTCTCTTTTTGGCTGTTTAGATGAACTGAAAGATAATATTATATATGCCTGTATATGCGTATATGGTAGCATAACCGTTTGATCCCTTCTATGTATCCCTTCTATGTTTTCTGGGTTTGGTTTATTGTTCTTCTTTTAAATTTTTGGTGCGTGGAGAGGTTGAAATGTGGTGGAATTGGATTTGTGTTTGATTTTATTTTAAAAATATAATATACTCAAAGAGTATAGCCGACCGGCTATAGAATGCCGCGCGGCTATACTCTTTTGACACGTGGCCTCTGGCTCTAGGCAGTCCTCTCCTTTTATCCTTTTTTAAGTATAGCCTCCCGGCTATACGTTTAAATATAAGTATAGCCGCTCGGCTAAACTACGATTTTTAAGTATAAAAAGTAGTATAGCCAGCGGCTATGCTGTTTTTTAAGTCTGAACAGCAGCACAACCGCACACACAGGAAAACTGAAGAAGAAAACGTGTGGGTGTTTGCTCACTAGTAACCAACTTACTTGAAGACTTATCTTTCTCACTAAAATATCATGCGTTTACCTATGAGTAGCACACATTCGCCTCCACTCAGCTTGCCGAATGTTAGACCAAGTCAAGATAACACAGCTGGGAGAGTTCAATTTGATTTCATTCAAACATGTTTGTTTTCACTGAAGATGTAGTTGGTGTTGAAAAGACTTCTTGAGTACTTGTTTTGTAGGAATTGTTTGCAATTCAAACTTATATACTGTTATTCATATCAATAGAAATATACGCCTACACAACTGTTATTGATGTACTTATCTTCTCTTTCTGGTTTCTCCATCTTCTTCAGCCTTGAGCATTATTATAAACAGCTTTCTTTATATTGCATACTGCAGATAACCAATAACTACTTGAATTGAAGGGAACAATTTAGGGCCTATTTGGTATTCAATTTGAATCCAACATTTTAAACTAAAAAACAGAATTCGAGTTCAAAACAAAGAAAACTTGTTTGGTAGCCCTATTTTAAAAAACTCAAACTCAAGAACAACTAAAAAACATCCCAATTATTAAAAACAAAAAATATCTGTTTTTTCCCTTTTTTTCTAACAACCCACAAGTTCTCAAATTTTTAAGATTTCAAAACAGTTTTCAAGTTGCATACCAAACAAGTTTTTTAATCTTAAAAATATATTTAAGAACTCCTTATTTTTAAGAAAAATTAAAGTTTTTGAGTTCCCTATTTGAATAGGATACAAACGCCCTCTTAAGTTCCAGAAGCAAAATACATGGCAAGTTTCAACAGCCTAAGATGGTCTTTAAAGGGTATGAACGCCCTCGTAGTTGGAGTTGGTGGAAATAAAGGCATCGGGTAATTAAATTAAATTGGCTGGCTTTTTCTTTATTTCTGTATTTGCATGAAAATTCATATCGAGTGTGTTAATTATTCTTATCAGTTGCTAACTATAACACTTAGCGGCGGATCTAGGATTGTACAACATAGGGTCATGGTGTAAAAGTTCTAAAATTTGTTTAAAATGAAAATAACACTAAAATATAAAAAGATATAGTACTTCCACTCATAATTCATGACAAAAACAAAAACAACAAAAATTACAATTGTCCACCGTGGGTTTAATGAGGGTTGGTTACACTACTACAAAAATCGAAATAGACGACGGGAAACCACCGTCGTGTAAAAGGTTTTCGCCCGGTCGTGAAATCGACTGCCGTCTATTTGGGTTTCAAACTACGACGGCTTTTCACCGTCGTTGTTTATCAGTAAAGATGACGGTTTTTAAAGAAAATCGTCGTTGTTTAGAGGTAAAGATCGTTAATTATAGGAGGAAAGACGACTGTTTTTAATAAAACCGTCGTGTATTGTATGTAAAGATGACGATTTTTTTATGAAAACCGTCGTGGATTGTTTATAAAGACGTCATCTTTACATACAATAGACGACCTTTTTTTATAAAAAGCGTCATCTTTACATACAAAAAAAAAGCGTCATCTTTACGTACAATAGACGACGGTTTTTTATAAAAAGTGTCATCTTTACGTAAAATAGACGACGGTTTTTTATAAAAAAGCGTCATCTTTACGTACAATAGACGACGGTTTTTTTATAAAAAGCGTCATCTTTAC